AAGAGCCGAATATATGTTATACACAGTACGTTTGCACAGTGATGTCCAAGAATTCGGTGGCCAACATCCCACAACCATAAGTATTTTTAATGTTAATTCAAGAACTTGCATGTTTCTCGTGTTCTTAATCTCACTCTCGAAAATATCAAAACGTTAATAACGTTATATTAAATTATTTCTGTTATTGTAATTTATGTAAATTGTATGACAAAGTATATTAACGTTTCTTTATTAATTAATAATAATATTAAATGTAAATACTAATAAATTAAGCTGTCCTCACAAAATATATTAATTGTTGATTGATTATTATATGTAGCACGCTTTTTCGACATAGATATTTGTGTAATATAAGTAATATGATACAAAGAAGATTCCACGTATGTCGTATATAAATATAATCAATTTTTCAGTATCAAGCCACAATCTACCCATGTAATAGTAAATACGAGGATTAAAAAATTCAGAGTTTCTTCATATGTGTAAAATATGAAAGTCATTCTCTTTATCAATAGCACCGTGAACCAACTTGCGTAATTCCATGCGACAAACCTCAGAATGTCTATAGCAGCATGATATGACCATATGACTTTCTGACTACATGAACCCTGCTGTTTTCTAGTTTCCCCTCCATATTCGGTAGCTATATAATTATCGTAATACCAAACTCGCAATATCGTTCCCTTTCTTGAAGCGGTTTGCATAGACATCATTTTCAAATGCAAACGCTATACATTTACGGCACAACCATGTAATATAATGATATATCTAAATACAGCGGGGAAAATATAAGAAAACGATAAGAAAGTCGTATATAGAAACTTAATAAATTATGGATTGCGTTTTACCTTTATAGAATCATAATAAATTAAGTAACCCACCAATTTACTTAGTAAATATTTATCAGTGTCGCTAGCACTATGTTTTTGCCGTTTGCCTCAAATTCTAGTGTCTAATTATGTTTCTGGTATTGATTTGTACAGTCGCAATCTTCGAGAAAATATAAAATATAGAAAAAACCTTTTATAAGTG